GGGGTGACCCCCCTCAGGATGCTTTGGTACCACTGTAACGAATCCATTAGAGACCCCGGGTGACTGACAGACGCAGACAAATTATTAACACCACAGCTGCCGTGAGCCGTCAGCCGCTCGCTGCTTATCACACAAAGCCCTGCGCAACAACACGTGTCATCCCAGGACACTGCTGGGAACGCGGAGCCCACCTGCCACCCCGGGAAGGGCGCAGAAAGCAGCAGACCGCCCCCTCTGTGACCGCTTGCTGCTGAAGCGGCCCTGGACGGCCATCGGCCAGCACAGCGCCAGACGCTGGCAGCACGGCAGCCATTCTGTGAGGAGCAGCGCTGGCTCCTCCATAATGGCAGCGCAGGCAGCAGTGGCCTGGGGCACCGATCTGCTTACTGACAGCTCCTTGTGTCTGCGGCTTGCAAGGGGCTGATGTTTCCCAGCCTGCCTAACACAGCAATAGGCAAGATGTTGCCAGGTTACGAGAGAGGTTTATTCTATTCCTCTGCTTGAAATTCTTGTCTAGGGGCTGTGAATTTTCTGGCAAGACTGCAAACAGGAGAGAATCAGATCTGAAACAATAAATAAATTTCTGCCCTCGACCAGTAATAACAACAAGCACAGAAGAGAGACCACATTAGCCAGCAGTGAGGAGCAAGCCATGAAGATCAGACGGCCTTTGCACATGGGATTGAAAGCAACAACCTCCGCTCGTTTTTAGGGTGACCGCAATCCAAGTGCTACCGTGTGGCCAGAGCAATAGGAATCAGACATTTCGGGAGGGTGGGCATTGTTATCAGCTCCCCCTCCCCCTCTCAGTCCCTCAGAAGGAATATGCCAAGCACAGCGGTATGGCCTTACTCAGTGCCTCAATGATTCCCGAGGTTCTGACTTGAATTTACAGCACGTGTAATCTGCAACCAAACCGCTACATGTCTGGTGGACTTGGTAGCATAAGATCAACGTTTGGACTCAATTTTATGGGTCTTTTCCAACCTAAATGATTCTATGTGTCAGCGTGCCTGGCAAGGGGTCATTGGGCCTGCACCTGCAATTTCTTTTTCAGATGCCAGAAGCACACAGAAACATTGGCTCCCATCTTGTGAGCCCTTTTCCCTGCTCCCAGCAAGACAACATGCATTTCCTTCACAGACTGCCCTGACCGCTGGCTCCGGCGCTTGCCAAAGCACCAGCTTCCCCTGCAGTGGGTTCCGGACGCAGCCTGCGCAGGTGCTCCCAGTCCCACTCCGTAAGGGGAACCGTGCAGCACCCTCACTGCGCGAGATGGCACCGACCAGCAGCTCGCAGCACGCCCAGGCCCG